CCAGTCAGTGTTCCCTTGTTTTCTTTGAACAACTGCCTCTTGGTCTATGTACAGGTTCCTCATGAACACCATTAAGTGTTCCACAATCCTCATACCTCACGATGTTGACCACAGCTTGTCATGGTCCACACAATCGAAAGCCTTTGCATAGTCAATAAAGCATAGGTAAACATCTTTCTGGTAGTCTCTGCTTTCAGCCAAGATCCATCTGATGTCAGCAATGATATCCCTCGTTCCATGTCCTCTTCTGAATCTGGGTTGAACCTCTGGAAGTTTGTATGCCTGCAGCCATTTTTAAATTATCTTTAGCAAAATTTTGCTTGCAGGGGATATTAATGGTATTGTCTAATGGTTTCCACATTCTGTTGGGTCGCCTCTCTTTGGAATGAACACAAATACGGATCTCTTGTAGTCGGTTGGCCAGGTAGAGTTGTCCTCCAAATTTCTTGTGATAGATGAGTGAGTGCTGCATTAGTTTGTTGAAAGATTTCAGTTTGTATCCCATCAAATCCTGGAGCCTTGTTCTTTGCCAATGCCTTCAATGCACCTTTGGCTCTTGATCATATGCTACCTCTTGAAATAGTTGAACATCGACCCTTTCTTTTTTGGTAGCGACTCTGGGTATTCCTTTCATCTTCTTTTGCTGCTTTCTGCATCACTCAATATTTTACCCCCAGAATCCTTCAGTATTGCAAGTGGTGGAGGTAACAGTACCGAAAGTAGCCGTGGGAGCTGTCGAACTTTAGGAGGACACTGAGCAGGACCAGCCTCAGCTCTAGGCCAACTCCTGATGGGAAGGTCAGTAACACCTTCTCTCTCCACCCTTTTTACCGATTCTACTTCTCTGCTGGATTCAATCATTCCTGGCCGCGGCCACACAGAGCTCAGCTCATACTTACCGTATTATTGAGGTGTGCCGAGAAGTCAGTTCCAACGCTTAGCAACCCTGGATAGGGTTTCCAAGGAGTGGCTGGTGGGTTCGGATTGCCGACCTAGCTGTTAGCAGTCCAGTGTTTCTCCTAGAATACCACAGCAGGGCTCCATGTCCTCACCATATTCATCATTATTAATGACAAGATACCGCTCACAGCTCCACTCAGCAGCTCTTCACGACAGCCTCCTCTTGGTCTGACCTTCTCTTGTCAGCACGCCTCAGCTCCTAGGTGGGGAATCTCCCAAGTTGTTTTTCCAAAGAACCAAGGCAAAAGATCACATAAAGGAATGCATTTCAACACACTGTGGTACCTGGAACGTGGCTCCGCACACCCTATCCACCCACATCCCCCCTGCCATCGGGTCAGTCCCACTCAGAGGCCTGCAGGGCAGAACACGACTGGTCCTCAGGGTTTCTGAGACCGTGAATCTTTTTTCCTCATAGCTCTACTGTTACTAAGGAGCTCTGGTAGCGTAGTGGTTACGAATCGGGCTGCGAACCTTAAGGTCAGCGGTTCGAAACTACCAGCCACTCCGCGGGAGAAAGATGAGGCTTTCTACTCTCGTAAAGATTTACACCCTCGGAAACCCTGTACAGGGTTGTTATGGGTCGGACCCGACTCGATGGCACATAACAACAACAACTAGTTACTATTTTCCATTTTTAACAGGCGTCCTCCCTCCAGCCAGGACCCACCCTCTCCTCCCCTCCCACTCACAGTATCATCAAAGGATGTCTCTTTCAGTGTGAAACCCTTTCTTTGGCCTTTTTACAATAACGGGTTTAGACACTATTTTTCCTTTGTTACTGGTTTACTTGTAAATCTCTGCAGGAGCAGCCTCATCTTTATACCATGGACTGGCTGCTGGAATTGGAACATCGACCTTGCAGTTAGCAGCCAAAAGCTTAGCCTGTGGTACCACCAGTCACATCCCTGGTATTGTTAAATGTCATTGAATCAGTTCCAACTCAAAGCGACCCTGTGTACACCTGAACGGGACACTGCCTAATCCTGGGCCGTATGAATCAGTTCCAACTCATAGCGACCCTGTGTACACCTGAACGGGACACTGCCTAATCCTGGGCCGTATGAATCAGTTCCAACTCATAGCGACCCTGTGTACACCTGAACGGGATACTGTCTAATCCTGGGCCGTAACTGCTGCCTGTTTGAGTCCATTGCTGCAGCCACTGTATCAGTCCATGTGGGTGAAGATCTTCCTGTTTTTCACTGACCCTCCACCTCACTGTGCATGCTGGCCTTCTCCATGGACTTGTCACAAGCTCCTAACACAAGAGCAGGTTCTCAGTGTTTGCTGACTGGCAGCTCATTGGGCCCACCGCTCCCTGCCACCCCCTATTTTAAGCTCTGTTCGCACCGGATTATCACTCCCACCTTCACCCACATTTCAGTTCACCAATTTGAGGGGTTTGGAGCTGTTGTGTTGGTAGGTCTGCAAAGTGACCCTCTCTTAGTGGAGAATCCATGCCTGGGGTCCACAGGACATGTTGAGGGCAGAAGGATGATGTATGAAAGGGTTAAGGACTTGGTTGGTGTGTTCCGGCAGAAGCACGTGTCTCCAGATGAGGTTGGACATCCCCTGGGGCAGAACCCTTAATCACAGTTTTGTGAGCAAGGATAGTGCCAGGGCTGTGGTTTTTCCCACACATCCTTCTCCACCAGAAGTTGTGACCAAATGGAATCATGGGAAGGAGCCCTGGAGGCACCATAGTCAGGTGCTTAGCTGCTAACCAGAAGATACAAATGCACACAGTGACTCTGCCGGAGACTCGCCTGGTGGTGGGCTCCCATAGACAACACAGCCTAGGGCGTCCTACGGGGTGGTCCGACGCTGTCACTTTGGGTCGTTATGAGTTGGGATCAACTAGACAGCACACACAGTTTGGAGACACAGGATTTGGATGGTTCGAGCCCTGTGGCAGAGTCATGGAGCAGACGAGACTAAAGGGTGGATTGTAGCGGTACCACTGCCTGGCTCACATCACCCACGGCAGTGACTGCTCCCTGCTGCGGACTCTCGCCTTTGGATGATGCCCACATGGAGATGCCCACTGTTTTACAGCTCCCACCCCAGGAGTGGACTAAAACCCCAAGCCTGAAGGATACGGCGGCACGAGTGCCACACCCCAAGCTCATGACAGAGCTAACTCCACGGTGTGGTTTCTACTCCACAGTTCCTATGGGACCAGGCTGAGATCAGCTCACCTCCTTCCCGCCCTATCCTACTCCCCTTTTCCAGAAGCACCCCGATAACGTGTCACCCAAATCCCCTTCTTGGGCTTTGGTTCTAGAACCCCCACCAAAGTCAGGGACAAATTGTAAGGACTCAATATAGTGTCAGGGATACCGCAAGCACCCAATAATGTAGCCTTTGGTGGCCCACGGGTAGAGGGTCACGCACTGCGATGGGCCTGGACAGACAGCCTTCCCCAGCAGGGTCCCCATTCATCAAGCCAGGAAGTGACCAAAGGACTCAGCCTCAGCCAGCCACAGATCAGTGTAGTTGACCATGGTGGGTACCGCTTCTCAGTGCAGGAGGGACTGACTGGAATGAACAATTCCAATGGACAGGTATGGGTAATGCATCCTCCAGCTTCCTCGACATTGATCCAATGAGCCCAGCGTGTGTATCCAACACTATCTCCAGGGCCACCCCTCCCTGGAGGGCCTACGTTGGCCATCGGTGGAGCTGACTAGTCTACACAACCTTTGTAAGCTTCCTTCCCTTCTCGTTCCACGCCCCTTTCCTCTACTGCTGTCTCATGGGCCCACCTCCCAAATAGACCTTGATACTCATCTCGGAGCCTACTTAACAAGTGAGGATATTTATTAACAATAAATGTCAGAAATAGAGAACCCAATGGAAGACCAAGAACTGAGTTAGTGGTACTCACAATCAGAGAACTGAAGGAGAAATCTCTTGATATTAATTTGTTTGAAGAACTGTAAGAAAAAAAGAGTGAAGAAAAATGAAGGAAGCCTGAAAGTTAAGCAGGACACGACCACCAGGAATGATTTATCATTGGAATTCCAGAACAGGAGACTGAAAAGGAAAAAAATAGAGATACACAGAGAGAATTATTGAATATTTACCGGCAGAAAACATCCCTGATATGAAAGACAGGTAAGTTTCCGTCCAAGAAGTTCAAAGAACCCCATATGAGACAGACCCCAATTCTCATCTAAGAGTCAGTTTCTGGGGTCTCCAAATGAGGCCAAAGTCTCTCTCCCTTGGAAGGATATTTTAGGAGTTCTGGCTGGAGCACAGTTCAGCATCCCACTACTAACTGAAGTTATTGGCTCCAACAGCCCCGCAATGTTTCCAAAAGGCCATAGGCCTGAAAACATGAAGCACAGTTGTATTCGAACACATGTGGGGTTACCTAGAGTCAGGATTGGCTCAACAGCAACTCGTTTGGTTTTTGGTTTTGGAAGTGTATTTGAGAGGAGGGGGGATGGGTGCATGAGCAGTTGAGCACAAGGGTTTCCTGGATTTGTACATGGGTGGTCTTTAATTCACCTCTCAAACCCTGGTAGCATCATGGGTTACAGGTCTGTTAACCACAGGGTCGGCAGTTTGAATCCATCAGGCAGTCTGTGGGAGAAAGATGAGGCTTTCTGCTCCTATAGAGTTGTATGGCCTGGGAAACTCTATTCAGGGTCACTGAGAGTCAGAACTGACTGGACAGGACACAAGGCCCTGATTAAGGAGCCCTGGTGGCACAGTGGGTTAAGTGTTGGGTTGCTAACCATAAGGTTGGCAGTTCAAACCCACTAGCTTCTCCAAGGGAAACGGTTGAAGCTGTCTGCTCCCATAAAGATTTACAGTCTAAGGAGTTAACCCTAAGGAGTTCCACCCTGCCCTACATGATCACCACCACGGGCAGCCCTCCAATTTGGCACCTGGAAAACACACTCAATGTGCAAAGCCCTCACTCCTGATCACATGGGGTGAGGCCCAGGAAGCCCCAAACTGGCAGCCCCCAGGGATGGACAACAAGACCAAGACGTGGGTGACCAGATGAGCTTTATTACACCCCCTCGTTAGCAGGCCAAACGTTCCAGCTGCCAGCAGTGCCGCAGACAATGGAGTTGACACCCTTTGAAATAGGGCCACCTGAAGGTAAACTCAGAGACACACTCGGAGGTGGTCTCTAGGAAGGTCTCAGAGGGGCAGAGCTTGGCTACCGAGGAGTTACTGGCATGCCGCGTCAGAGTCCGCTTCGAGTGACATCTACTGGACTTGGGGGCTGCATCCTCCAGCTCGATGGCAGTTTTGCTGGGGGATTGTGTCTGGATGTTGGTGTTACTGGGGGTCTGGACCAGAGGAGGCAACTGGCTGGTGGTACCACTGGGCTGCTGCGAGGGGGCCGAGGACCTGTGGGGTGTCAGCAAGGGGACCGAGGACTTGCGGGGAGTGTGTGAGGGGCCCGTGGATGGTAGGGACAGACGAGGGAGCCGTAGGTTGTGGTTAAGGGGCTGGTTGGTGGAGTTGCCTTGTGCCTGAAACTGTTCCCAGGGCTTGCTAGGCAGCTGGGAGCTGCTGGCAGAACGGGTGGGCTCACGGACCCCAGGACTTAGGGCATGGCCCGAGACATCATGGGAGGCGTCCCCAGGGGTCTTGCCAGGCGCTGAGGGGCTGGTGGCCTTAGCTGGAGACACGGTGGAGGACTCCAAGGAGGGCTGGTGGTCTGTTGCATCCAGCTCCCCAACCTGGAGGTCCTCACAAGGATCGGTGGGGGACTTCACTGGTCCTTCTGTGTCTGCATCATGCTTGCTGGACCTGCGGGGGAGGGTGGTGAGCTCTGGCACGGGTAGCCTAGGGCTTCAAACAAGGTCCAGGCTGCGGGCGGTCAGCATGGTAAGGTCACAGGACCGGAGCATCCGTCCTGCAGACATGGAGTCCCACGCATGCCCACATGCTCCCACATCCACCTATGTACACACATAAACACACGCTTATGTTCATTCACAAGCATATACTCACAGATTCGGGCACACACTCACATTCACACATATGCACACAATGCACACACTTGTAGATACTCATTCACACGTACACCAAGTACACACATACTTGCACATGCTCACACTCACGCAAACACAGAAGTGCATTCACACACACCTCCTCACACATCCACGCACTCATGTTTACTCACATGTGTACACTCACACATATACTCACACACACACACACACACACAGAGTCTCATTCACTTTCTCCCCGGCACATGCATGCATGGCCATTCACACACGCACATATACACATGCGTTCATTCATTCACTAACAGATGCGTACTCCCTTACACACTCACACTTCCTTACACATCCACTGACACAATCATGTTCAGCCATACACATTCACAAGTGCACACACATTCCGACACACTCATACACATATATAGTCACACATGTACACACATACACTCACGGACACTCACACGTACACATACATACACGCATGCACTCCGTCACATGTGCACACTCATACACTGACTCATACGCACACCTCCTCACACTCACACATACACTAACACTCGTGTACACACATTCACACACATAAACTCACAATCATTCATATACACACACTTCCTCACTCACAGTCTGACACACTCATACAGACATGGACACACACATTTACACATGTAAACATGTACTCACTCACATACACACTTCCTCACACACACTCTGGCATACTCATTTGTACACCAACACACTCATAAACACAGATAAACAGAATCTCTCCCCGACACGCACACTCACACTCATACATGCACATACTTTTGTTGTCACACTCACCCCCCCCCCCCCCCCCCCCCCCGTCTCCCGGACAGTTAGTTACCTACGGTCAGCTCCATGGGCAGCGGGGGGCCTGCCGCCTCCGCTGCCGCCTGGGTGACGAAAGCCCGGCTCTGGGCCAGAATCCTCAGGACTGGTTCCCAAGAGCGTGGGGGAGAGAAGTGGACAGTGAGAGGTGCCGAGATGCCAGGTTGTGAGGAAGAAGTCAGGAGGAGGGACAGACTGACAGACTAGGACCAGAGACACCAACAGCCAGGGACAGTCAGGACTAGACAGACAGACAGGTGGACAGTGAGGAGGAAAACCCAAAGGACAGAAGAGAGGCAGGGGCTGGACGGACAGGCAGAAGGACAGGCGTGGGCACGCACCATCTCTGGTGAGACCGGCTGCTGTGTCCAGGACTCGGCCGCTGAAGTCGCTCACGATGCTGTCCACGGCCTCGTGATGCTTTAGAAACAGTGGACGGATGACGTGGCGGTACAGGAGATGGGCCCCATTCCAGGGCCCGGGTGTCATGCAGAACAACAGGAAGGCGCACTGTGGGGGATGGGGGTCACACTCGGCTCCCACTGGGGTCCCCACCAAGCCCCCTCCCCTTGCGGCAAGCCAGGTCCCCCACCCCATCAGAGGGCCGGCCGTCTCCTGACCTTGCCCGCATAGTAGAAAGGGAACCAGAACAGGAGTAAATCGCTGAAGAATTCGATTAGGCCGAACAGGCTGTACACCACCCAATAGGTGAGCCACAAAGTGTCGTCTTCTTTGGTTGGACTCTCGATAGCCTTGATTCTGGGGGTATTGATGGTAGTCAGGGTTTGCCCTGCCCCATGCCCCAGCCCACACCTGGGCCCCGGCCCCACCCAGGCACTCACGAAGCATATGCGGGGTACGCAAAGCCGATGAGATTGCACAGCAGAGACGCCCCGTAGCCGAACAGAAGATACAGGCTTAGCAGCGTCACGACACCTGGGAGGAGGTGGGTGTGGGCCTGGGGTAGCCAGGGCCCCTCCCCAGAGCGCCCAGCCTCCAAAGTGGCAGCTCGAGGGCCTTTAGGGGCCCTCACAGCGCCCCAGGAACCCCTCACCCTGTGTTGTAACTCTCCTGGCTGTGACCTCCCAGGGCAGGCACGGAGGATGGCCCCTGGTCACTCCCAAGTGCCCAGCAGTGGGGGACACAGAGAAGCTGCCCAGGAGACATGTTATGTGGATGCGTGATTTCTGCGACTGTGGGTTTTTTCACCACTCCAGACTTGGAGGAAGGGCAGTGAGACTAGAGAAAAGCATTTCAGTGTAAGGGAGAAAAGTCCGTCATCTTGGTTCTCATCCCAGCACAGGGTCTCATCCCCTCAGCATGGCTGACACTGAGGGGGAGCATCCTGTGCACTAGAGCATGCTGAGCAGGATCCCTGGTCCCCACCCACACGATGCCAGTGGCCCCCCCTAAATTATGTTCCCAGTTATCAGCAGGTGTCCTGAGGGGGCAGAATCACTCCAAGTGAGAATCCCTGGATTAGGGGAACCCATTGAACCCCAAAAGACTCTGTATCCCATAATCAACGGACCTCCTGACATCTGAGGACAATGACCACACTGAGTGGGAGGAGAGAGAAGGGAAATCACAGGAACCAGAAAACGACCCCGTCATTGTGAGTTTATTCTGGTGCTGGTTGTGAGCAACCCAACTCAATATGTTTATAAGTAATTAACACAGTTCCTCCTGCCCTGCCCCCCACCCCCAACACTGCAGACCCATGGGGTGGGGTCCTTCTCCGGGGTCAGAGGTGCCTTGTGCGCGGTGAACAGCCTCCCTATAATTAATTAACACAGGAACACCCACCCACGCCCCCCCAGCCCAGCACTGCAGACCCATGGGGAGGGGTCTGTCTCTGGGTCAGAGGTGCACGGTGAACAGCCTCCCTATAATTAATTAACACAGGAACACCCCTCCCAGCCCAGCCCAGCACACCCATGGGGAGGGGTCCTTCTCCGGGGTCACAGGTGCACGGTGAACAGCCTTCCTATAATTAATTAACACAGGAACACCCCCCCCCCAGCCCAGCCCAGCCCAGCCCAGCACACCCATGGGGAGGGGTCCTTCTCCGGGGTCACAGGTGCACGGTGAACAGCCTCCCTATAGCAACAGTCTTTCAATTCCAACCCACAGACATGGGAGGACCCTCAGCAAATCCCTGTCTGCTGAAGCCTCAGTTTCCCCATCTGTGAGTGAAAGTCTGGGTCAGTAATGGGCCCTGCCTCCTAGGGTCACCGTGGGATTGGCTGAGGGACGTCTCTCTCCACATTTACTGAGTGCTTGCTGGGCCCCCAGCTTGGTGAGTACAGAAGGGTATTAGGGCCAGGTGGGCCAGGAGCCTAAACCATGACCCTGGAAATCACTGCGGCATTAAGTGCTGTTGGCTTAGTAAATGGAGGCTGGGGTGGGGGAGGGATAGGTGGTCCAGGGCCCCAGTAAGCACTGAGGCCAACCCTTCCCCTAGCCCCACCATCCACCTCCAGGCCTTGATCTGCAGGAAACACCTGTCACCCCACTTCCACCAGCTGCATTTACCTTTGTCCCCAGCAGCCGGGGACAGAAGCCCCCATCTGACCCTAGGAAACACCTCCCCAATATAGCCTCTTCTAAGCCTCAGTTTCCCAGGTCACCTGGGACACCAACTCACTGTCAAAGAGGGAACTGGGGCAGAATTAGGTGATGTGGGGCCCAAGAGCACCCCATCTGCCCAAAGGGTGGGGGACTGGCCACCAAATCCCTTTTCCTGCAGTCTCAGCTCTGGGAGGATGATCTTGAATGTAAGACTTGAAGATTAACAACAGACAAGATCAGCAGTAGGGGGAGTGGGGGTGGGGGGGCTGGCCCAGGCATCAGCAACAGACAGCAGACAGACCAGTGGTGGAGTCAGGTGGGGGCTGCCTCCCACACAACTTCCACCCCCCTGTGGCTCCGTACCCTCCCAGGCTCCCCAATGGGCCCTTCCCAGATGCCTCCCTCTTAGCTGCCCTATGACCTACACCAAAGTCCCACCCACCTGCCTGACAGTGCCAGGGATGAGGAAAAGCAGGGTGGACAGAGGTCAGGACCTACGTCTGACTGAACCCCACAGGGGCATGCGAGGTCACACACAGATTTGAGGGCCTCTGGCTGCCAGGAAAGAAGGAAAGTGTTTAAATGGTCTCAATGGAGTGTCCCCTCCTCACAGGGTCCAGACAAAACGTCCTTGTGACTCACTCTAGTGGGGCTTCCTGGAAGAAGTGGATTTGGGGCAGGTAAGAAAAGGGAGGGAGAGAGCTAAGAGAGTAAGAGAGGTTCAGAATGGTCACCAGAGGCACTGGAAGTTAGAACCGGGTTTGGGGTTGGTCCCAAGTCCAATGTCTACAACACCGCCATGGCAGCTGTCTCACACCAGACTCCCAACCCAACAAATATTTACCCACAGTGGGTCGAGCCTCAGAGCTGCAAGGAGGAAAACGGGCAGGTCGATGGGGGTGGTGTGTCCTCAAAGAATAGGGGGGACGCTTGGAGTGTCCCTCCCCTTCCTAACGTCGAGGTTCCCCACCCCCACCCGGAGATTCCGGAGTATTGCAGTACAGCTTCCAGGCTGGGACTCAAGCAGGAAGGTGGCCGGCAGCCAGTCCGCCCCCTCCTCCTTCGGAGGCCCCGGGGCAACTGGAAGAACTGGACTTGGTCCTGGCGGACTCCCCATACCCCAAGGGAACTGAGGAAAGCTTCCAGGCGCGGCCAAGCACGGAGGTAGTGTGGGGGGCTGCTGGGGCTGAACGAAGGGATAGCAGGGTAGGGCCTAGGAGCAGCCCCTACACCCGCTGAAAGGCGCTTCCCCAGGACCTCGATGTCCTCCCCCGAACAGTGGGGCGCACTCCGAGGCCGGAGAAGGTCGGAAGGGGCAGCTTCCATATTCCAGGGCTCCAGGACCTCAGTGTGTCCGTCGGTGAAATGGGGCGGAGACCCTCAACGCCCCCCGGCAGCTCACCCGCGGCCAAATACCGCTTCTCGACACCGGTCCTGGCTTCGAGATCCCCGAGCACCTCGGTGGCCAGGTTCCTGCGTTCCAGAAAATGCTCGAAGCGCTGCCGCAGAGCGTCCATAGCAGCAGCTCTGGGGCTGACAGCCCGAGCTCGAGCGGAGTCCCACGCTCCCGGCCCGCCGGGAGCTCGCCCTCTTTGCCCAGTGGGGCGGGCCGCAGCGCTTCGCCCTCGGCCCGCTGCTCCGGCCAATGGGAGGGCAGGGCGGACAAAGGAGGTGGGGCCTGCCCCGTCTCCCCCGCTGCATTGCCCTCTGGCGGGCAGCGGCCGCCGCAGCCGCGTTGAGGGAGTAAGGGGGTGGGGCACAAAGGCGGAGGTCGCTTATTGGCCGGCAGGGAGCGGGACGTATTTGATGGAGGGGTGGAGCCGAGAAGCGTGCTGGAGAAGGCGGAGCTTGCGATAGAAAGGCGAGAGCTGATTGGAGAAACTAGAGGGGGAGGAGTTGGTCATAAAGGAAGCGGGGTCTAAACTGAGGGCCTATTGGATGGGGCGTGGCTAATTCTAAAGCATAACTCCGATTGGACCAGAGAAGTTGCCCGGCTGATTCAAGAAGAAAGGGGTGCTTAGAAAAGTAGGAGGTACCAAAGAAAGGGGTGGTGCCAACTGCAACACTAAACTCTTTTCCTGTGGGTCAGATTTATATCACTGTACAAAAGGGTAAACTGAGGATTCAGAGGGTTGGCGTCCACGGAAGAGCCAGGGCTGACACGTGGCTTCCCTACCACCACCACCACCGTCGGATCTAAGAGCCCTTTGAGGGAAGAGCCGCAAGGACCCCTGGGAATTGAAGACCCTCCAGGGTTGCTATGGCGCCGGGGGGCGGGGCAGCGGGCGCTAGGGCCGTTTGGCCTGGGGGAGGAACCCCCGCAGGTCCCGCCCCCGCCGCGGCCCCGCCCCCATGCGGCCCGCAGGGACTGGACTATGGCTGTGTCTGGCCTTGACCCTGGGCCTGGGCCTGGTCAGCCCCCTGGCTGTGGGGTGGGCCTCGGCCCGGGTCCCAATCTATGTCAACAGCTGGGCCGTGCGGGTGTCCCAGGGGAACCAGGAGGCCGAACGCCTAGCGCGCAAGTTTGGCTTCATCAACCTGGGGCAGGTGGGTGGGACCCAGATGAAGGGGGGCGGTGGGATGGGGCTGGATGATCCCAGATCCAAGGTCGTTGGGAAGAGGTCTTTCTGATATCAACACTCGTAGCCCATCTCTGCCTCGACCTGGGATTTCCAGAGGGCACCTGCAGTCCCAACCTAGGCACCTGGTTGGGGGCGTGCAAGGACGGGGGCTTTGTCCCTACCCTTGGTGGGTGGAGGGGCTCCAGCATAGCGGCCCAGGTCCCAGCGATGCAGCTGCCCACCACATTTCCAGATCTTCCCTGACGGGCAGTACTTCCACCTGCGGCACCGGGGCGTGGTCCAGCACTCCCTGACCCCTCACTGGGGCCACCGCCTGCGCCTGAAGAAAGATCCCCAGGTGAGCCCGCCTTCCAGGCTGTTCCCCTGGGGCCTCGACCACCTCCTGGGGCAGCCAGCAACCACCTGTCGTACTTGGGATGTGACTACCTTCTCTGAATCTCAGTTTTCATGTCTACACAACCAGGATCCAGTTCCGGAAAGGAAGCTGTATCAGGCAATTGGTAGTGTAGTGTGTGGGCTTTTAACCCAGATTCTGGTCTGGATTCCCCTTCCCTCCTATAACTCACCTGGGATTAAGGACCCCAGATACTCTGCTCAGGAGAGCCAGAATGTGTTCCTCCCCACTCTCTAGCTCCTGGAACTGAGGGAGGAGAATTAGCACATTTGACAAAAGAAAAACTGAGTTTTAAAGGGTCAAGGGCCAGCCTGGAAGTCACCCAATGAGCCAGTGGTTGAACTGAAACCAGACTGTCTTCAGATGCCCAGAGAGGTGCCTGAGCTAGCTGGGGCCCAGTCCCCATCCAGAAGTCCTTGAATGCTAAAGGGAAGAGTTGAGACAGAGTCTGGCAGGATTTGGGGGCCCTGAAAGGGAAGGAGAGACAGACCAGGATGCATGGGACTGAGGAAGAGCAATCAGGGCTGGTTATGATCAGCAGTGGACTGAGGAAGAGCTTACCCAGCCAGGCAGAAGAACATGTGCAAATGAATCTGTAATCATGGTGACAGCAGGGCAGGGGGCAGGCAGGGGCTGGACACACAGGGCATTATGGTGAGGGTTCAGACAGGGAGTGAAACTGTACCACACAAAGGGGGTGGGAAAGAGGGAAGCTGGACATCACAGAGTGATCTGGATGGGGGAGAGGTGAGGGACAGAAAACAGCTAGCTTTGGGAGCAATTCAGGAGGAAGGGGCAGGACTGGGACCCTTACGCTAGCCACCCTGGGTGGCAGTCCCCGCACTGTGGGCCCTGACTGAAGGCAGGGCTCCAGGCAGGTAGAGACCCCTAAGAGCTGACCCAATAAACACAAGGGCTCCAGGACAAGGGTCACCCTGAGGCCTATGACCCTCTGACCCACAGCATGAGGGGTCCCAGCTGCAAGCCCTGGACAATTCAACCCCCTCACAGTCATCCCTGGCCCCTCCGATAAGCAGGGGGCTCTGCTAGGAAATGGGTGGGGAGACTCAGGCCCTGAAGTACCTGTACTATTGAGTGGGCACAGTCAGAGACTGAGCACATGAAGGGGCTCGGAGACTCTCAGACCATGGCCCAGTCCCATCTGGGCACCCCCTCCAGGTGCGGTGGTTTGAGCAGCAGACACTGCGGCGGCGGGTGAAGCGCTCCCTGGCAGTGCCCACAGACCCCTGGTTCCCAAAGCAGTGGTACATGGTGAGCAAGCAGGTGGGGGCTGGAGGATGGGTGTGCCAGGGCCTCGCTGAGCTGTGCTCTGCACCTCCCCCCTCCCATGTAGAACAATGAGGTGCAGCCGGACCTGAACATCCTGCAGGTGTGGGGCCAGGGGCTGACGGGACAAGGCGTCGTGGTCTCCATCCTGGACGATGGAATTGAGAAGGACCACCCAGACCTCTGGGCCAATTACGTGAGCTTGTGGGCGACTGGGGTGGGGCGGCCTGAGAGCCCTACCTGAGAAATGCCATACCCCACTCCCTGTCATCCCACCCACCCCCTGTAGGATCCCTTGGCCAGCTATGACTTTAACGACTATGATCCAGACCCCCAGCCTCGATACACACCCAGCAATGAGAACCGGTGAGCTGGGGCCCCAAGGAGCAGCCACCCTGGAACGTGGGGGCAAATCTGAAATGTTGGGGCAGCTGGGCTCTGATTGATGGAGCTCGTCTCATCTGGTACCAGGCATGGGACCCGCTGTGCTGGGGAAGTGGCCGCCCTCGCCAACAACGGGTACTGCGGTGCTGGTGTAGCCTACAACGCCCGAATTGGAGGTACCCTCCAGCTCACCAGCTGCTCCTTGGAAACTCTATAAAGGGTCGCTATGGTTTGAGACCACCCTGCCAACACACAATAACCCCAATCTGAGGCACTGCCCTGGCCAGGGATGGGGCATCAGAGGATGGGGGGCAGACTCTCAGCACCAGGTCCAGCGGTGCTAGGGATGCGAGGGCCGCAGGCATAAGAGCTGAGCTGAACTGGGGCCCAACCCCACCCCCCAACTCCTAAAAGGCAGAGAGAGGGGACCTAGGGCACGGGGTAGGCATGGGCATGGGTGGGCTTTGCCCAATGTGGGGTGCAGGCTGAGGTCATGGGCGAGTGTGGAGTGGGTGCTCTCGGTTAGGGGTGGGTGCGGGCCTCACTGAACTGTGGGGCCGCAGGCGTGCGCATGCTGGACGGCACCATCACTGACATCATTGAGGCCCAGTCACTGAGCTTACAGCCTCAGCACATCCACATCTACAGCGCCAGCTGGGGCCCTGAGGATGACGGGCGCACCGTGGACGGCCCCGGCATCCTCACCCGGGAGGCTTTCCAGCGAGGCGTAACTAAAGTGCGTGGGGTCTGCGCAATGGGGGGCGGAGCCATGTCCTGGCAGCGCCCACATGTCCCGGCTCCTCCAGGGTCGTGGCGGCCTGGGCACCCTATTCGTCTGGGCGTCAGGCAATGGCGGGTTGCACTATGACAATTGCAACTGTGACGGCTACACCAACAGTATCCACACGCTGTCGGTGGGGAGCGCCACCCAGCAGGGCCGCGTGCCCTGGTACAGCGAGGCTTGTGCCTCCACCCTCACCACCACCTACAGCAGCGGCGTGGTCACCGATCCACAGATCGTGAGTGCGCTCCCTTTCCCTGGACCCCAGGAGCGCCTCTCCTGACCCCTGCCCCTCCCTACATCCCAGCCCCCACCCTTCCCTGTACCCCAAAACCTTCCCTCCCAACCCCAACCCCTCCTTGGGCCCGAGGACCCTACCTCTCCCTGGTCCCTGATACCATCCCTACAGACCTCGCCCTGCCTGCTCCCCAGCATCTTTGCTTCCTTCCCTGGACTCATTCCCTACCTCTCTTCCCATCTCCAGCTCTCCCTGGTCTCCCACCTGCTCCTCCTCTGGATCCCCCACCTCTGTTCCTGTCCTTGATCGCTCTCTGATCTTCTCAGACCTATTTCTGCCTATCAACTCTCTCCTTGGTCCTTCCTCCACTCCTGGCCCCCATCCCTTGTCTCTCCACTTCTGCTCCCACCCTGACTTCTCCTCCTAAAGCTCCCATCCAGTCAGCTCCTGCAGAGTAACAGCTCTGTGACCACCTCTCAGCTCTTCCCAGAACCTTCCTCCTACCTCAGGGCCACTGCACAGGCTGTTCCCTCTGCCCAATGCTTTTCCCCATCTGGCCCTTGCTGACCCTTCAACCCAGGAAGCCTTCCTAGAATGCCCCCGCCCCCAGCCAGTGCTCACCCACCTCATCCCACCCCCGCCCTGGATGACATCAGCTGGGCCCGGGTGCCAAGGATAAATCCAAAGGCCTTCTTCCTCCCTGGGAGATGGGTCCCTGGGGCCCCAGACACAGCACAACCTCCCAAGTGAGTCTGCTTCCTGGGCATGGGGCCTGGTCAATGGGGGTCTGACCAGGAGAAGACTGAGCTCAGAGGAATGCATTGCTGCTTCCCCCACCCCCACCCCCCAAGTCCTTCAGAGGCTGCCGTCTTATTTTGTTTTAATTAGTAGGTGGGACAGTTTTAGGCCTTCAGAAAGCACACTTCACTGTCAGGTCATATCTCTGATGAGCCCGTGTGGTACCAGAGAGAACTACTCCGGAGGGGCTGCCTGACAGGGTGCCACTGGGGGGCTTTGCACCCCCAACCTTTAAGTTGGTAGCTGAGTGCAAATTGTTTGTACCACCCCAGGACCTTACAGAAAACATGTTGTTGTTGTTAAGTGCCATCGAGTTGGTTCCGACTCCCAGTGACTCCCAGTATAGGGTTTCCAAGGAGCAGCTGGTGGGTTTGAATTACCAACCCTGTCATTGTCCAGTGCTTATCCTGTAGTGCCACCATAGAGCATCCTATATTTCTCTTTCCTCCTGCACACGGCTCCTCCTATTAATATCTTTCATTCATCTGATAAATTTGTTACATTTACTGAACTAACGAACTTAATTATTAACTAAAATCCATAATTCATAAATCCTCCTTGGGTGATGCAAATGGTTAAGCACTTGGCTAATAATTGGAAAGGCTGGTGGTTCAAGTCCACATACAGGTACCTAAGAGGAAAGGTTTGACAATGTACATCCAAAAGACAATAGCCACTGGGAAGCTGTGGAGCCGAGTTCTCACACACGTGACGTTGCCATGTATAGGGTGGGCTCACAGCGACAGTTCACATATGTTGTCCTGTCCTGTGGAGTCTGACAAATATGCCAAGTGTCTGCACACTCACACTGAGCCAGTGCCCACTCACAGCACCCCTAGGTTGGGTTCCCAAGGCTGTGAATACTTACAGGAGCAGCTGGTGGATTTGAACTGCTGATTTGCAGATAGTAGCTCAATGCATCACTCACTATGCCACCAGAGTTTCTTATAAGTTAAGTGCTGTTGAGTTGGTCCCAGACTCACTGCCATCCCCTGTAGAATTTCAAAGGCTGTAAATCTTTGCAGTCACAAAAAGCCTCATCTTTCTCCAAGGACCGGCTGGTAGGTTTAAACCTTGACCTTTGGGTTTGCAGTGCTTAGCTTACAGAACCACCATGCTCCCCTATAAGACAGTTGTTGTTGTTAAGTGCCTTCAAGTAGATTCTGACCCTTAGCGACCCTGTATAGCGTCTCCAAGGAGCAACTGGTGAGCTTGAACCACCGACCTTAGAGTTCAGACAGCTTTGCAGTCTGACGCATTAACCCACAAAGCCACACCACACCATCTAAAACTGTCTTGTGCTCCCCGTCAAACCCCTGATCTCACCTCTTCAGAGTTTTGTCCTTTCCAGAATGTTCTATAGCTGGCATCCTGTAGGATGAGCAAAGTCCTTACAATTCCTGGGCAAGGGTCCCCAACTTGTGTGCCCATCTGTCCTCAGGTCACCACGGACCTGCACCATCAATGTACAGACAAGCACACGGGCACATCAGCCTCGGCCCCGCTGGCAGCGGGCATGATCGCCTTAGCTCTGGAGGCCAAGTAGGTGACTGCCCTTGTACCGCCCTGGCCCCCACAAGGCCCCTGGCTCACCTGCCCCCCACCCCCACCCCCCAGCCCCTTCCTGTCCTGGAGGGACATGCAGCACCTGGTGGTCCGCGCATCCAGGCCAGCGCAGCTGCAGGCAGAGGACTGGAGGACCAATGGTGTGGGTCGCCAAGGTATGGTGGGGCGGTGCCTGTTTGGAGGGGTGGGGCAGGGGTGGAGCCAGTGTGAGGGGGTTGAGGGGAGACGGGAAGACTCCCAGTAGGGCCAGTGACGCCTTCGCTCTGCGCCCCCAGTGAGCCACCACTATGGTTACGGACTGCTGGACGCTGGACTGTTGGTAGACATGGCCCGCACCTGGCTGCCCACGCAGCCCCAACAGAAGTGCACGATCAGCGTGGTGCACACCCCCATGTGAGGCCCCCCTCACCTGCAAACTCCCCTGCACTCTTGCTGCAGGTCCTCCTCGAACCCCCACCTCTCTCCTTCCCCACCTGCTCTCCCCACACACCTGCAGTCTGCTTCCCCAGGCCTTCCTCCCTCAGCTGTTACCAACCCCAACACCAGAACCCTTCCGACTCCTCCCCACACCTGTTCCTCCCTCCCCATACTTCCCAGCCCCTGCATAGGTGCCTCCATTTACCCATCTGGGAATTCCTATCAGGATGCCCTTCCTCCCGGGCCTCACGCCCTCACCCCCACCCCCACCCCCGCCCCATGGCAGCACCATGTCGTCGCTGATGCATGTGCAGAAGAACGTGACGGCCTGTACAGGCCTCCCCAACTATATCCGCTCGCTAGAGCACGTGCAGGTGCGCCTGTCCCTGTCCTACAGCCGCCGCGGCGACCTGGAGATCAGGCTCACCAGCCCCATGGGTACCCACTCCACGCTTGTGGCTGTCAGGTAGCACTGAGCTGTGGGGGTGGGCCATGTGGAACACCTCGCCCCACCTGGGGGAACCCCATGTAGACAAAGCCGCCCCACCTGCCGTCTGCCCCAGGCCTTTTGATATCAGCGGTCAAGGCTACAACAACTGGATCTTCATGTCCACCCACTTCTGGGATGAGGACCCGCAGGGAGAGTGGACCCTAATCCTAGAGAACAAGGGCTATTATTTTAACACGGGTGAGATCCAGGGCTGAGGCTACAGGACCACTGTCCAGATGGGGCTCAGGATGGGACTCAGGAACACCTCTGCAAAAGGGGTCCCCCATATTCACCTCAGTGACACCGTGCACACAAAGGTGTCCAGGGCCAAGTAGGCCCCCAGTTACCTGGGGAGTGGCTATAGAGTGATGGAGTTGTCCCGTTAGGCATGCAGTTGGTGTTCAGTGGCTGAGACATGGCTCCACCACCTGAGTCCTGGGCTCCAGGGTGGGTGCTGCTGGGGAGACGGGCCGGGCCCAGGGATCAAAGGACATGGCCACCAACCTGCAGCCTCATACCCCATGGCCCCTGCCCAGGGACGCTGTACCGCTACACGCTGCTGCTCTATGGGACGGCTGAGGACATGACCGTGCGACCCACGGGCTCCCAGGTGACCAGCAGCGCGTGTATGCGGCGGGACCCACAGGGGCTGTGCCAGGGTGAGTGCCTGGCGTGGCGAGGCGCCCTTGCTGGGAGATGGCCACAGCAGCGGGCAGTGTGCATGTGCAGCCTGGGAGCGGAGCGGGGTGGGGTGGGGTGGGGTGGGGGGCGAAACCTCATGACCCCTCCCCTGTGTGTCTCCTGCACAGAATGTCACAGCCCCACCTACATCCTGGACCACCTCTGCCTCTCCCATTGCCCACCCCGGTACTTCAGCCACACCCAGGGGTCAGTAACACCGGGGCACAAGCCCCCAGGCTCCTCTGCCATGCGGGTCTGCACCAGCTGCCACCCATCATGCTACACCTGCCGTGGCAACTCCCCACTGAACTGCACAAGCTGCTGGCCCTCACACACCCTGGATGAACTTCATGGCTCCTGCTTAGGACCTGCCACCCCTGCCGGTCACCCACTGCCCACTGCCACCAGCCAGCCTCACCACCCCTGGGGCCGGGCCAGGGCCATGCTGCTGGTCCTGCTGGTAGTAGCCTTTGGGACCCCCCTCTTCAGTGGTGTCCTCCCTGTGGGCTGGTCTTCCCCAGCCTGAGGGGCCACGCTCACCTCCACCCCAAGCCTGGCTACTACAGGCTAAAACCTGGTGACCTGTTGGCTGGGGTGTGTGACATGGACAGCAGGATGTATATTTCAACCTTGCCCCCAGGTGGACCCTGCTGCCCACTCCAGACTGGCCCTGGCTGGCCGTCTGCTGCTCAGGCCAGCGTGCAACTGCTGAGTCTGGTGTGAGTCCTGTCACCAGGAGTGAGAGACAGAAGTCTTGTTAATGAAATCGGGAAAGGGTGGGTGGGTGGGGGAGACCACATCACTGGGTGGGGATGAAGGGAGAATGGCTCCAGGCACTCCATCTGCCCCCAGCATTTGCAAATAAAGGTTGAAAGGAAGGTGCCAAGTCTGGGGTCAGCTTTGGGGCCAAGCTGTTCCTGATAGAAAGTCCAGAACCCCAGTTAGAAATTGCCTTTCCCCCAGGCATTGGAGCCTGGAGAACTCAGAAGGGGCAGGAAATGCAAAGAAGGGGTATGGGGTGCTTAGGTGAGCAGCAAGCTTGGGAACCAACCTCCTGCAGGCAGACAAGCTCCAGTGAAGTGGGGAACCCATTACTGCGGATCTGCAGCAGGGGAGAGGTGATGGCCACAAGGAAGTTCCCTTGTTGGGAAGTGCTGTTGAGTCTTTTCAGACCCTAAATAACCCTGTATGTATAGGGTTTCTGAGGAGCGGCTGGTGGGTTTGAACCGCTGACTTTGTTGTTAGCAGTCCAATACTTAACGTACAGCGCCACACCAGGACTCCAGGAAGTTCAGCGGCAGATGAAAACCAAGGAAGGCTGTATACATGGGCCATGACGTTTCACAAGGGCCCTAGGGACCCAGACATGCTAGAGCAGGCATTGAGCCTGCTCTAGGAGTCAAGGCTAGAGGCTCTGCTAGCAACCCAGGGCAGGAATTGGGAGCCAGGAAGAGGGGCTCTGGTGGGGTCCTTGTTGGAGTTCTGTTCAGGACTGGAGTTAGGCACAAGAGATACTGATGTTTGACAGCCCACCATGTCCTGGATCCATCCGGGAAGGAGAACAGAGCATCCGGCTAGACCACTGGAGACAACCTGACCTCCCACATCCCTTGCCCGGGTCAGCTCTTCTCCAGTTCTGCCCATGCAGCTAGAATCCCGTGCCTGTTGAACTTTCAACTCGAAGGGCAGCTGAGGTGCAGTCCAAGCTGTGTCTGGGACTGCCTCAGTTTCCCTGCTGAAGTTCAGGGGGTCTCACATGAGCAACAGGGCTGGGATCTGCTTCACCAAGCACTTGGAGAACTAGCTTTCCCACCTAATAGTGGGGGTGGTTGTGTGCCATGGAGTCGGTTCCGACTCTTAATGACTGTGGACAGGATTTCTGAAGCTGTAAATCTTTACAGGAGCTGAAAGCCTCATCTTTCTCCCGCAAAACAGCTGGTAGTTTTGAACTGCTGACCTTGCGGTTCGCAGCCTGATTTGTAAAACCACTACGCTACCAGAGCTAGCTTTCCTACCTGGCACTCAGAAAACATCCAAGAACCACCAGCTTGGGCAAGTGCTGTGAAAAACTGTTCCTAAATTTATTAAACACAGACTCACCACATGACCAGCAATTCCACTCCTGGGACCTTGAGACCCAAAAGTCTCAAAAACACACATCCACACAAAAGCCTGTACACAAGTTATCAGAACAGCCAAGAGGGAGAAGATGATGGACTTCCATTCAAATGTGGTCTGTGTACCACCAGAATGTGATTCAGCCCTAAAGAATGAAACCCGTGCACGCTACCAAATGGCTGAGCCTTGAAGACATGTGCAGTGATAAACACCAGACACAAGAGCCACATCATTTCATTAAAATGAAATGTCCAGAACAGGCAAACCCTCAGGGGTAGAAAATGGACTGCCACGGGGCTGGAGAAGGGGGTGACTGCAGATGGGTGTGGGGTTTCTCTTTGGAAGTGACGGAATGTTCTGGATCTAGAGAGTGGTGGCTGCACAGCTTTGTAAATACACGAGCAACAATGGTTTTCATAAATGGGTGAACTTTATGGTATGTGAATTATACCAACAAAGCTTTTAAGGAGTCCTGGTGGGGCGCTATAGGATAAGCATTGGACTGCTAACCGCAAAGTTGGTGGTTCAAACCCACCTGTCACTCTTGGGACAAGGTGACCACCATGCCCTTCCCCCATCCGGATAGGGAGGGGGTCTCAGAGACTGGAGGGCCACCCTGACCCAGGGCACGAAGGGAGATGTTTAGACGTGTCCTTGCAGACATGATCTGCCAAGTTGGCAGTTAGAACAAGCAGCATTTACTGACCCCCTGAAGTATACTAGTATGCAGTAGACGTCTGGTGTGGCGTTGTGGGATCAGTACAAGGTCAGCAGTCCCAACCCACCAACCGCTACTCAGAAGCCCTGTACAGGGTCGCTGTGAGTCGGCACAACCCCCTGACAAGACAGTACCTGCTCTTTACGACAGCCGGGTGGGCGTGGCGCCGTGTCCCCCTTCCTCCACTCCCACTTCCCCCAGCCCTGGTTTGCAGAACACTGAGGTCCAGAAGCTCATTTACCCAGCTCAGAAGGGCCAAGACTCGCACTCACACTCAACCGCGACGACGCGCCTCCCAGCCCAGGTCTCCTCCGAGGCTGAGCTGGACCTGCGAGGGGCTTCCGTCGCTTTCTAGAGGGTGCGGCTCCTTTAAGAGGGGCGGAGCCGCGTGGTGAAGGGGCACCGCCTACAGGAAGCGGAAATCACTGTTCCTCGGCGCTAGCGATTGGAGTGGTGGCGTGCGGTGGGTTTTTCTGCTGGGAAACTGAGGCTGAAGCTGAGCGGGCCGGTGCAGTCCCGTGCCACGTGGGGTCTCGCGGACGGAGGGGCGGGGCGGGGCGGGTTGTCCGCAGGCCTCGGACCGGTACGTAGCAGTTCGCGGAGCCGGAGCCGAGACTGAGAAGTGGGTGTCCTGGTCACTGCTCCCTTTCTCCCTGCAGAGATGGGCTCCAAGGCCAAGAAGCGCGTGGTGCTGCCCACCCGCCCGGCGCCCCCCACTGTGGAGCAGGTCCTGGAGGACGTGCGGGGAGCGTTGGCAGCGGACCCTGTCTTCACCGCCTTGGTCCCGGAAGGTAGGGGGAGCCCAGGCCCCAGCAGGGGAGCAGGCACGCCTCTTGGGACCCCAATCCTACCCTGCAGGCCCCGTGGAACCATGGAAGGTGCCTTTCCTCCCTATGCAGGTCCGCCTCCCAAAGCCCCCCAACAAATGCCATCACCTGAGTTCCCGTCTAAGGATTACCTTCTGGGACCTCATCTAAATCACTACCCAGTCAGGTTCCTTCTCCCTTCCAAGTCTCCCTCATTAAAGTGGCGCTCATCTTCAGAGGGTCGTTTTATAACGGGTCATCTGCAAACTAGAACCCACGGTAAATCGCTTGTTTTTGTGGAGTGCCCAGGTTCAAAAGGTGAATGTGCTTAGCTGCTAACTGAAAGGCTGGAAGGTACGATCCCACTCAGAGACACCTTGAAGAAAGGCCTGGTGAGCTGCTTCTGAAAAGTCAGTCATTAAAAGCCCCACAGGGGTGGAACGCAGGATCATGCAAGGGGGCTCAAAAAGTTAGTGGGAAAATTTCATTATCCTTGAATCCTGCCTTCCCATGAGCTCTTCGAAGCCCTCTCTCTCTATACCAACACTGAAAAATAGAACCCTTTGGCGTGCAGTTCCGCTCTGATACGCAGGAGGTGCTCCACATACCTGCTTTTACATAAAGTTTTGTTAGCACAGACCACACCCACACATTGACATATTGTCCATCACTGCTTGTCTGCCACAACAGCAGTGTTGAGTAGCCCAGAGACCCCCACGAATCTGAAACGATTTACCATCTGGCCTTTTGCAGGAAAACTTTGTCAAGCCCCGTTCGTTGTAGAAGGTGGAATCAGGTCAACAACTAAAGTGCTGGGCACACGCGTCATTATGTTGAGTGAGGTGCATTTACTGAGCACCTATTATGTGCTAGACCCTGACAATACTTTAGAGAGATGAACAAAGCAGAAATTTTAAATTTAGAATCCAGTAAGGAGTCCTGGGTTAGGGTTAGAGTGCTTGGCTGCTTACCAGAAGGTTGGCAGTTCAAACCTACCAGTGGCTCCATGGAAGAAGGGACATGGTGATCTACTGCTATAAAGATGGATGTTTTAGGTGTTGTCGGGTCGGTTCTGACTCAGAGCTACCCACGCACAGCGGAACAAAACGCTGCCTGCGTGATCCTCGCAGTTGTGTTTGAGTCCAGTGTCACAGCCACTATGTTCCTTCATGTCACTGGGAAGTTGCTCTTTCAGGGATGCTCTACAAAGTGTGTGTCCTTCTCCAGGGGACGGTTTCTCCTGACATGTGCAAAGTACCTGAGACGAAGTCTCCTCATTAAGACAGATCTGCTCCGTTTAGGGCAGTCCATTTAAATTCAAATTTCTTTTCCAAAACCATACTTGAAGTGCATCCATTCTGCTTCACTCTTCCGTATTCATTTTCCAACTTTCACACACATATGAGGCAATTGAAAACGCTACTGCTTGGGTCGGGGGACCTTAGTCCTAAAGTACTGCTCCTGATGTCGTCCCACAGCATTTCTGGTCTATGGTCATTAAAGTCCAATGTCTTAAGTCATCTTTTGAGAGGAATTCTAAATCCTGGTGTGACCCTGCAGGAAAATGCTCTAGAAGGCAAGGTCGGTTTGGATCACAAGGTCAGTGGTTCAAGCTCACCAGCAACGCCTCGGAAACACTAATCAGGGAACCAACTCAACGGCATTTAATAACAACAATTCTGTTTTCATTAGCAACCCTGGTGGCTGAGTGGATTATGGGTTGGTCTGTTAAGTTTGTGGGGTTCAAAACTACCAGCTGCTCCACTGGAGAAAGATGAGGCTTTCTGTTCCCTTTAGAGATTTCCAGCTTTGGAACCCTATACAGGGTCACTACGAGTCGGAACAATACTTACTGTATTTTGGCTCTCATGAACTTGTTTTACATTTTCTTCAGTTTCAATCTGAACTTGTGTGTGAGCATTTGATGGTTTGTTCCAGAGGCAGCCCCTGGCCTTGTTCTGGCTGATGATCCTGAGCTCTGCCAACTTTTATTCCCATAGATGTAGTCGATTTTCATTCCTGGGCATTCCATCTGGCGAGGTCCATGTGTATAGCTGCCATTTATGTTGTTGAGAGGGTATTTGCAGTAAAAATTCTGTCTTTCAATCTCTAATGTTTCTGTCACCAAAGCTATGTTTTACAACTATCGAGCCTTCCTTTTTGCTTCTACCCTTCACATGCTTATCAGCAGTCATCGTAAATGGCTCGATTGTATGTTTGATCAGGTTTACACTAAAGAGGTTGCCCGTGCTGGTGATTTGTTGTGTGCTGTTTAGTCAGTTCCAACTCATAGCAACCCTGGATTGGGTTTCCAAGGAACAGCTGGTGGATTTGAACCACTGAACTTGTGGTTAGTAGTCCAGGGCTTATCCTATAGTGACACATCAGTACTCGGAAGAAATTGGTAGACTTCTTGAATTTCTTCATCATTGGCTTTGGTGGTTGGTGCATAAACTTGAATATTAGCAGTGTTAACTAATCTTCCTTGTAGGTGCCTGGATATTGTCCTATCACGGACAGCGTTGTACTTCAAGACAGATCTTGAAATGTTCTTTTTGATGGTGATGACACCATTCCTTTTGAGTTGGCGTTCTCAACGTAGTAAACCATATGGTAGTTTGATTCACAATAACCAATACTCGTTCACTGTGGTTCCCTAATACTTAGAGTCTGCATTCCATTTAAGGGCTTCCAGTTTCTCTAGGGTCATACTTTGTACACTCCATGATCTCATTAGTAATGGATGTTTGCAGCTGTTTCTTCTCATTGTGAGTTGTGCTCCATCAGCAAATGAAGGTCCTAAAAATGTGGCTTTATCCACGGTCATCACGTTCTACTCAACGTGGAGGAGGCAGCTCTTCCCCACGTGCATTCTGAGTGTTTCAGCCTCAGGGGTTCGCCTTCCAGCAGCATTTCCAACCTTGTTCCACTGCTAGTGACAGATTCTTAGGAACTAACCCCTCAGAAGTGGGCCACTCACTCCTCCTTCCTAGTCTGTCTCATTTAGTCCGGAAGTTCTGCGGAAACCTGTCCAGCCCTTGTTGGTAATTTCAACACACAAGCCACCACAGTACGGCAAACTGGTAAGGCCAGTGGGTCTGTGACAGCCTAGGAACCCCTATGGGGTAGTTCTTCTCTGTCGCCTGGGCGCTCTGAGTGAGAATCAAGTCAGTGGTCCCCAACAAGAGTGACGGGGTGCGGGTGGCCATCAGGGCGCAGCACTGGCTAGCACCAAATCAAAGAGAGCAGGGACACCATGTGAGCATAGCATCGAGTTCCCGCTGAAATCCCCACACTGGACCTGCACTGTCCACTGTAGTGGCCATCAGCCACATGGACTGCGAATTAAAACTAGTAACGTTAAGAACTGAATTCTTCGTCAGTCTAGTCACATTTCAGGTGTTCAAAGACCACTCGTGGCTACTGCATTGGTGTCAATTGAGAACATTTCTATTATCCAGAAAGTTCTGTCAAACAGGAGGGTGGCCCAAGGTCACGGCCACGGCTGAAATCCAGCACTGTCCTGAGGCTGCATCTACTGTGTGCCTGAGCCTGGACTCGGTCCCTGGACGACTCCTGTGCTGTCCCACTCAGGTGCTATCCCAAAGGTCTGGCCATTTGGGTGAACCCCAGGTACCTCAGAAGAGAGCAGGCAGTCTTCTGAAAACCCTGTGGAGCAGAGTTCCGACCTATAAGGGGGCCCCCAGGAGGGGACTCCACAGCAGGTGACTGTGTTTTCGTTTCGTGGACTCAGGCAATGACTCGGTCCTGTTTTTCTGCAGACCCCGCAGACCCCGCCAGGACTGTGCGGCACGAGCGTCTCTATGAGCAGAGCCAGGCCTACGTGGCCATCAACCAGCGCCTGCAGGAAGCAGTGCAAGGACTGAGGGGCCAGTGTGAGGAGCTGCGGCAGGCAGGGGCTGAGCTGGAGCGAAGCGTGGGGCAGGTGGCCCAGACAGTGCTGCCCACGGCCACCCCCTCGGGCTGACCCACCACCTGGAAAGTGCACTCCAAGACAACCGCTTTTGTCCGCTCCAGGCCCCCACTGTGAATTCTCCGCCCCTCTTTGTTGACCTAGCAGACACCTAAGCACCCTGTCACCTGGTACACCTCAGACATGGCTTCCTGGTCCCCACAGCAGACGCCAGGCTTCCTGTGTCGTGGCCCTCCTACTGGGAACTTTGTGGCCTAGGCATGCCCAGGGACCTGGAGATCCAGGGACTAGGGCAGAGGGGGGTGCATGAAAGTGCCACAGATAGGGGCTCTTCCCAGCAGTCTGCTCACCAGTAAGTCCCTAATGCCCTCCGAGCCCACCTGGCAGCCACGGGGATTCAGACACTGCTTGGGTCCTAGCACTTCAGGCTGACGCCATTAAAGCCCAAGCTGGCTCTGTCTTCTGTGTCACCCATGTCTTGGACTAGTGTTGTCTTATTGGGGACACCCCTTCCGGTTGTCTTCTCGCCTTTCAGATGCTTCTGCCAAGCCTGAGGCAGCACCGACAGTGCTCAGTGTACACGCACCTGTCTGCAGGTCCAATGTCGTCACCCAGCCACCCAGACAGTGCCCCTGGTCCCTGCCGTGGCACTCAGAAAGTGCCAAACTTGTCCATGGTAGTGGGTGTTGTGGTCCACCAAAGCCTGTGCCTCCAGCGTGACGCCTTGCCCTGAGACTAGTATTCAGTAGAGCAGTCACTGGAATCTCGGAGACATAGTGCTTGGACGGACCCCGCTCCATGGAGTAGCCATGGAGCGGAGTGCTGTGAGGGGACACTGTAGTGGACACAGCTGCTCGGCCCAGATCACCCCACAGCAGGCGACTGCAGATGGCAGGAAGCCCCGGGGTTTCTCCTTTGGATGACAGAGCTGCCTTACACAGAGACACTGAAGAGCCAACGGAGTGGAGGGGTGCAGGGACTGAAGCCAGTAAGTGATGGATATGAGGGTGTGATGCTGACCCCCAGATTCATGGGGAGACTAACTCCAGGGTGTGAGTCACTCCTTCCCTCAGAGTGGATCCCAATGCACAACAGCCCTATAGGACAGTAGACCTACTCCTCAGCTTTCCTCAGCGACTGGGGGCTTCCCACCACTGACCGTGCAGTGAACAGCTGAGCGCTTGACCTTTACCACCAGGGCTCCTTCCTTGTCCAGAGCACCCCCAAAAGTCTTATCACCTGAACCGCCTTCTCAGCCTGCTTCCAGAACCCCCACTGAAGACATGGGCAAAGACACCAACTTGTAAGGACTCCATAGCTTTCCAGCAACGGCCCAATAACGTCAGTTGTCTTTGGTGGTCCCCAGACAGAGCGTCACACCCCTGTGGACTCCCTAGCAGGGCCCCCGCTCACCAAGCCGGATTCCAGCCCAGCCAGCCACGGCTCAGTGCAGTTGACCCTGTAGGTTCTGCCTCAGCAAAGTATTCACTCTCGGTTTTGCTTCTGTGGTGAATGAAGGTCCCCAACTCCCAGTCAGTCATATGTCCATCACATGAAGAAAGAGGCCTGCAGGTACGCGTTGGGCAGTTGATTCAACAGCGTTTTTATTAAAGGTGCTTAAGAGTCCTATGCCCGCTCCACCTTTTCTCTCGGCCAGACAAGGGGCTGGACACATGGGGCGCTATATACAGGTTTCCTTTAATACTGCGTGGGGACCCAGCGGGGTTGGGGTAATGAACCAGATGGAGTGTGGGTCAACGGAATTCAACCAGATGGAGTGTGGGTCAACGGAATTCAGTACCCACCTAGTGGAGGGTTAGGAGGGGTCATCCAGCTGGTTAGGGTTGAGGGGGATTGGGTATCAGTGTTCGAGCAGAGGACGCTCGGCCCTACCCTCATCTGGTCTCAGGACCTAGAAGGGATGTTGGGAGAGAATCATTTTCTTTATAGAACCTCAGTTCCTCAGCCTGACCTTGTATTGGCTGTCCACACATGAGGCCCCTTTCTCCTGCGATAGCACCCCTACCCCTGCATGGGCTAGACTGTACAGTGTGACTGTGCCCACCTCTAGGGCCTGGAGTGCCCGTGGGACACAGCAGGATGGCTGGCAGGCACACCCTGCTACAGAAGGGAAGAGGAGCTTGCCCGCTGGGTTCTGTGAGTACCTCTGTTCTCAGCCACAGCCCACGTGGGGAGGCAGAGGCGTCACGCGCAGCAGGCCACACGGGCTCTGCTCTTGTCTCCACGTGTCCTCCTGATTCTCAAATGAAGCACACGCATCAGAGCGTCAACAGCATGCAGTCCCCAAAACCCAAACTTCGCAAAGGTCCCAAAGAGACTCTGCCCTTACAGGGACCACCAAGGCCCAGGGGCAGACAAGACCTGGGTGTCCTCAGAAGACAGGTGGGGCCCCTTGTAATGCCCCACCCGACCTCAGGAACCCAGGGTCACCACCATGCTGGGCCACACCCTCCTGCCACACAAAGAGCATTTTGTACAGCCTAGAGCCGCTGGCCAGGGTAGTGACCACTCAGCATCCCATGTGGCTTAGCTCAGGGCATCCATCTTTGAAGACCACGTATCTTGGAACCCACAGCATCTGAGGTGCCCAGGTGGAGACCATTCCAATGGTGGCACCTGAGTTGCAGGTCTGTGCCTTCCCCACCTGGGAGAAGCTGTCATGAATCCACTCGTCTTCCACCAGCCGCTGAAGCCCCTGGTCTTAGCCGTTTTGCACTGGGGGCTGGGGCAGGACAGTCCTGAGCTCCTTCTACTGATGGCAACACACAAGAAGACTCAGCTGGTAAAACCGTGCCTCCTCCTCCCAGGAGAAGGCCAGCAAGCCACTCTGCAAGGTTGCTGTAAGAGCAGACCCTTCTGAGATCCTGCAGAAAAGACGTGCCTGGGTCTTTCTGCAGAAAGACGTGCATGTCGATGCCTCTGAGTCCCTGGGCAAATACCCCAGCATGTCCTGGGCACAGCCACACCTTGCCAAGATCCCAACATTCAGTCCAGAATGAGACTTGATGCCCACACACTGCCGTCCCAAGGGAAGGCCATCTGAGCACCCATCTGGGGGTTCCATAAATGAAGATGGCTCAGAAGAAGAAAATGACAGGACCAGCTGCCACATATAAGAGTGGACACACAGCCGCCCTCGAAAGTGCAGGCCCCCTGCACTTAGAGGGTGAGCCCAAGGGAGGGGGCACAGGCTGTCCCAGCCCACGGCCCGTCATTCCTGGCTCCCAGGAATTATAAAGAAGCCAGGCATGTCAGCCTGGGCCTGAGCCTCCTCCACACAGGAGCCCCGCCCAGTGTCTCCGCCAGCTCTCTCTTCCCTTCTAGGGGTGCACAAGTCTAGGGTGTCTGGATACCCTACTCCCCAAGCTGCTAACCCCACACACCAGCACATCCGCGGGCATACCAATTCCTTGACATCCCTTTCTGGAGACAGTCCTTTTGTGGGGTTCTGCTGCACCCCGTGCCCAAGCCAGAGCTGAGAACCCAAACAAACCCACAGAGCCATTATTAACAAATTACAGGCGCCGTAATTACAGGCTCTGGAGCGCAGTACCCAGCTGGCAGGCGCCCCCACCCGTCCCCTCTGTGGTACAGTCCCCTCTCCTGTGGTGGGCAGCCCCAGGGGTCCAAGAGCCATTCCTAAGGACTTCCATGTCATGAGAGTGGAAGAGGAGATCTTGAGATCTCTTGGCCCCTGCTGCTGAGCTAGATAGTGGTCGGCAGCCCCGTTCCTCCCGCAGCCCCTGCAGCAGAAGCGAGCATTTAGGCAGAAGCTGTGAGGCCCAGTGCAGGAGAGGCTGGGCCTCTGAGAGCGGGACTGACCGGAAGTGGGCCCACAGGGCCACTAGGCCAGGCAGCAGGGCTCAGAGAGACAGTTCCAGACGGCTGACCTAGGTCGCTATTCTAGGAGGCCCACGGGGGCAGTAGCGGGGCCCTTTTCCACGGCCGAGTCTGGGGTGGCCGCTGCCACCATAGGGCTGGGCACGTAGTTAAAAGGGGGTACCCTGGCTGAGCGGCTGGGCGAGCCGTGGCGGCTGGCGGGGAAGCCCCCTGCGGGGACGCTCAGGCCCTCGTGGGTGAAGGGGGTAGCAGGGGACGCCTTGGGTGGGCTGGGCCCATCCACATCACTGCCGAGAGGTCCAGGGCCACCGGCCGGGCTCTGGGGAGGGTCCCGGCTCTCCAGGCTTGGGGAGGTACTGGAATTGGTCTTAGTGGTCGCAAAGTCCTCGGTCTGAACAACAGCATCGCTGGTCTTGCGCATTGCCTGGGTCCCACCTAGGGTCCCCTCAGGCACGGCTGCATCCACCAGCGGCAGGGCGGAGGCGGGCAGCGTGCTGCGCAGGATATGCGGTACATCCTCGTCGCGTATGCGCCGCCACGTGGTGCCCGGAGAAGACACCCTGGGAAGGACGTGTGCTTCGCCGTCGCTGCCGCGGCGGACAGTGTCAGCCATGGGCAATGGGCCCGTGGCATCTGGTCCACGGGCCACGCTGATGTGCGGGAGCGACGAGTAGCGCCTAACGGCCTCGGGCCGGGGCGCCGGCAGACGCACCGGCAGGCGGTTCGGGCTCTCGGAACTGGTGCGCCGAGGCGGTCGCGCTGCGGGTCCGGGCCCCGGGCGGCCATCGGGGGTGCGTGTCGTGGTCGCCCGGGGGGTTGCGCGGAGTTCATCACAGCGTGAGGAGCAGAGAAAAACGGCGGGCAGCGCAGGGCGGCCGCGGCGGGGCGAGCTAGCCGGCGGGGTCCCGGGAGCGTCGGCCGGGGCTAAGTCTGCACGGCGGCGGCGCGCCAGGCCTGGTGACTCCTTGATGAAGGTCAGCTGCCGCCGGAAGCCCGAGCGTTCGGAGGACTCACTACAGCTGGAGCGCGCTGAGCCCACGCGCACCAGGCCCAGGCGGCCTCCGCGTGCACTTGCGCCCCCCTCAGCACCCACGCGGCCTCGGGGTCCTGGCTCCCGCGCCATCCTGGCGATTGGTGGGGGAGCACGGCGCACAGGCTTCTGCATGAATGGGATGCGCACTGGTGACTTCTGAGTCTTGTGCGCTTTGGCCAGTAGCGCACGCGCGGGCGTCTTAGGCCCTGGCGAGGAGGCCCCAGGCCCGGGCAAGGGCCCAGGCGGGGGACTCGGGGGGCTCTTCTTGGATGTTGGAGGGGCAGCGGTGGAGCTCTGCGAGGAACTAGGCGAGGGCGTCTTGGCCAGGCGTGCTGGCGGCGTGGCACTCCTCTGTGGAGGACTGCGCGGTGCCAGCTCTGATATTTTGCCGGGCCGGTGCAGGCTGCGAGAGCGCGAGGGTCCAGGGGCGGGGAGCGGGGCGGGGGCGGCCGGCTGAGCGGGACTTGGCGGCCCTGGCTTGCGTGGGGTGGCGCGGGGCCCGGGCCCACCTCTGAGCTGTCCCCGGGAGGCAGAGCTGGGCATGTAGATAACCGTCCGTCCCCGTAGCACGGCAGGCACGTCAGACGTGGCTTTCTGAGCGCTGCGTGGCTGCTCGGTGCCACCGCGGTCAGCCACAGCCCGTCTCTCTGGCCGCCCCACGCTGCTGGCCTGGCCCTCCCCGCGTGGCCGCCGCCCCTTCCTGTGCGCAACGGGTGCTGCTGCATGGGACTGGACCGAGTCAGACTCAGCTTCGCGGGTGGCTGCCGCAGCTGCTGCTTGATGCAACCAAGTGACGATGGAATTGGCGCCCTCCTGTATTGCTCGCCACTCGACGCTGTCCAGATCTGAGGCGCCACGGTCGGACCCCGCTGCCTCCTCGCCACGCTCCGGGGCCACCTCGGCTGCTGGCCGCACTACTCCGGGCTTCCGACGTCGGGACCCGGGTGCAGGAGGTCGGCGCCTGGGCATTGCGGAGCCGATGCAGCTCCGGAGCACTTCCTGCTCATCCCGTTGGCTGGGCGAACCGCGGCCACGGCCAGCAGCCGCATCTGAGCCCTTGCTGACCCCTGAAGCCCGGGGGCGGCCCGCTGTCTGCTCTGGCTCGGGCTCGCTAAGAGAACTCACCGAGGAACTGAGCGAGTAGCAAGGTGGCGTCTCATCGGCAATGAGGCTGGGGTGCGCCCTGGTGGGAGGCAGGGCAGGAGGTGCGGCCTTGGGTGTGGCCTTGGGGCGCTCCCTCTTCACGGCCCGGGGAATTGCAGACCCCCGTCGAGGGGGTTCAGCCGTGGCAGCTGGCTCGTCATCATCAGAGTCATTGTAGAAGCAGTACACGGCCTCCTCGGTGGGTGTGGTCAGACACAACGACTGCAGCGCCCCGTCCCCGTGCGCCCGGTCCTGCCCGTTACGGTTTGAGCGGGCACTGGGGGGTCGGCCTAAGGGCAGCTCCAGAGCCGCTCGGCTCCTGTTCTTCCCTCCAGTTTGCTCCGTACTCCGGCCCACACCGCTGGCTCTGTGCCACTGCCCTGAGGCCTGCCTGGAAGAGGTGGAGCGTCCAGCCAACGTGTGTCTGTCTGGCCTTTCCCGGGAGGGTCCCTGCAGCGTCTCATCGCTGAGAGAGGCGGCACTGGAGAAGTTGACAGGCGTACCCTCGGCCGAGTCACTTCCCGAGTCATCCTCGCGGGCCGGGGCAGGCACCAACATGTACACAGGCACGGGCAGGGCCCGGTGGCGTCCAGGCACCAACGCAGAGGCCACCTTGCGCACTCGGGCAGGCACAGCAGCACCCAGGCATGCCCGCAGCAGTTCCAGTTCTGAGTCTGCGGGGACTGAGGCGGGTGTGCAGGCCCGGGGGGCCGCGGGCGCAGGCCCTTCCAGCCGAGCGCCCACCTCTTCCGGTCGGCGGTGCCCAGCGAAGCCTCCGCGTTCGGGCCGCACGGGTGGAAGCAGGCGCAGCTCCACGTCCTGCTGCACGTAGTGCTCGTGCAGGGGCAGCGCGCTCAAGCTCGAAGCACAAGAAAAATTCTCATCCGGCTTCTCCACTGTGAAGCGCACGCTGCCGGCGTCCAGCTCGGACGGCAAGCGGCAGCGTTCACGGCAATCGGCGATGTCCAGGAAGCGCTTCACGTAGCTCTCCCACTGAAGGCAGAACTGACTGGCACCCCCGCCGCGCTCTCCTGGGCCCGGTCCTGTGGCCGGGGGCGTCTTGCTGCGGCTGGGTGGCATGGTTTGCCCGGGGCTGTCAGGAAGCTCGCTGGGGCTAACTGTGCCGCTGCCCAGCCCACTGCAGGGCTCACTGGCCACCGAACTGGCAATGGATGGGCTCTCAAAGCTGCCCAGAGAGCTCACGGAGCTGCAGCGGCTCAGCACCAGGGGCGTCTCCTGCACGTAGTTCTCTGATGAACTCGACGGCGTGGCATCCTCGGCGCCCAGGCCTCGGCCTCGGCCCCGCCGTGGCGCGGGGATGGCTACGGGCAGTGACGCCCCAGGCGCCCGCCAACCCACGCCCGGTGCCACCTCTCCAGGATCGGCCTCCTCCAGCACCTCCAAGGATGAGTCGCTGTCGTCCAAATCTCCACCCTCGCTGGGGCCCGGACGCCCAGCGGAGGACAGCGAGGATAGGGAGCTGCAGCGAGACAGGCAGAGAGCTGCTGTGTCCCCCGCCGCGAGCGTAGGGAGGGTCTCCGAGGTCGTCGGGTCCTCGGCCGACAGCCAGGCCTGGGTGCGGGCAGCAGGAACGGCCCCCGCCTTGGCCATGCCCTCCAGCAGCGGCACATGCTGATAGGTGGGCGACAACTTGATGGTGCGCACTCGGGCGTCGGCAGGCTCACGGGCTGCAGTCTCGACCCGGGCGCCCGGATGATCCAGGTCCAGCCGGCCGGGTCGTGGAGGCCCACACGGGGCGTCTTCGCGGTGCTCGGCCAGTGCGGCCAACGGGCAGGGCCTCATGTGTTCCCGCGGGCAGTAGCCATCGCTGGTACTGCCGCTGTTGAGGCTGTCGTTGGACAGACTGGCGTGCGCGGCTCTGAGTCGCAGCAGCGGGTGGGCCCGGCTGCCCGCCTCGCGTCGCGTCCCCTCGGGTCCTCGGTTGGGAGAGCAGGACTGGGCACGGCCTTCACGCGGCGGCAGCGGCGCCTCCTGTCCGGGTTCCCCTGCTGAACTGAGGCTGAAGCTGTCATCAGAAGAGGTGTGCAGGGCGGAGATGTCTTCCACCAATCGGTCGATGCGCGCTACTGCAAGGGCCAATCTGGCCTTAGCCGCTATGGCCGATTCCCCGCCGGCCATTTCCTTCTCTGGCTCTGGGCCTCGGCGGTTGGACGGGGTACGGGCCAGCGCCTGGCCCTGAAGAAAGGGACCACCCAGGAAAAGGGACAGCATAGCCGGGCTGGGGGCCTCCATGGTGGCGCTGGCTCCAGCGGCCAGAGAGGGTGCGTCATCGTCGTCGAAGCAGCCGGAGTCAGAGGCGTAGTCCTGGGCCAGTCCATCCAGGTGCCGCAGGGGTGCCAGTGGCTTCTTGGGAGTGGGAGCGGGAGTGGGCAGACCCTTCTTGTCCAGGTGGTCTAGCGCCTGAACCAAGTGCCGGGCGTCCAGTTCAGCCTCTAGCGCCCGCTGCTTGCGCACGTACAGGCTGGGCACGCAAGTGCCGGGAGATACAGCAGTGGCCGTCGCCTGGTATTTGGCCGGTCGGTGGGCCAGCAGGTTGCGCAGGGCGGCGGTACTCCCCATGGCGATCATCTTGTGCTTGGAGTGCACCAGGTTACGCAGCATGCCTACTGCACCCAGGTCCCAGAGCAGCTCCTGGTCTCGCGGGCTGCGCGCGGACAGATTCCAGAGTGTGCCACACGCATTGCTGACGATGGTAAGACTGTGTGACGTCAGGTGTTGCAGCAATGTCTGCAGACAGTTGTGGTCTCGAAGTACCTGCCTGGGAGTGGGGAGAGGAGAGGGCACGTCACCCACAGCCCCCACGGCCCCACCACATCCCGTCCTCACCCACCCCAGAGATATGCACGTGAAACATAAGACACCTGGTTAAGATGGAATTTCAAATACACATCAATAGTGCATAGGCTAGACTTACACTACAGTAATCCATGTTATAATTTTTTTTCGTAAAGAATAAATAGTATCTATTAATGTTGCTGTTAAGTGCTGTGGAGTCAATTCTGACTCACAGATCCTGTATAAGGTTTCTGAGTCTTTAAATCTCTGGGAGAGCCAAGAGCCTCATCCTTCCAGAAGAGTGGTTGGTAGGCTCCAACTTTGTGGGTTACAGTCCAGTGCATATCCTATGGAGCCACCTAGCTCCCCATGATCTGTTAATAATGTTTAATAAGTATAATTTTAATAACTATTATTTTAGAAAATAAAAATTTCATGTAAACACAGTAGAAATAAGTAATACATACTTGTTAAAATATAATACTTTTAAAAATATTTTAAGATTTTAGTCTAAATAAATATGAAAATAAGTAAATTTAATTTATACATTATGTTATATTTGTTATTTGACTAGTTTTAATAGGCCTATTTAAAATAAATTTTATTCACTTTAATAAATATTGAATATTACTTATTATATATAATGCTTAGTAAGTAGTACTGATTATAAATATACACAATTTATCTTAAATAACTTAAGCACAAACCCATTACCACTACCATAGAGTTGGCCCCGAAGGAGCCCTACGGGGTATAAATCTTAGTTAGTGTTGTTAGGGGCTACTGAATCATTCCCACTCAGTGATCCTGACTTCTTTTCTAATTTTTTGAGGTGCTGTTTTGATTCCGTGTCGACAGATGTTAAAAGAACAAAGAAAAACCCAGTACCATCATCCAGTCAATTCCGCCTCACAGGAGCCCTGCACAGGGTCTCTGAGGCAGTACCTCTTTGTTGTTACTGTCGTTAAGTGCCTGCTAGCGGGTTCAGATTCATCTCTGAGGCTTTTTAAAAATAAGTGTCATCTTTCTCCCACGGAGAGGCTGGTGCGTAGTCCAGTGCTTAGCATATAGAGCTAATCTTTATGGGAGCGTACATCCTCATCTTTCTTCTTCTGAGAAACTGATTGGCTTGAACTACCGATCTTCCTCTTACTAGTCCATTGCTTATCCTCCACTACCACCAGTACTCCAGGTGTAAGCCCATAAACATTCAAAATGAGTAAACTTTACTTTGTTTTACAGGTGATAAATATTTAAACTGTTCAATAAATAATCTATGCTTATTAACTTTTAAAAGTACTTTAGTATGAGAACATAAATATAATTTAAAATTTTAACATACAATATGCATTAGTTATTAATATTATCTAGTAAGCAATTATTTACATAAACATGTCTACTTATGATAATAACATTTAAATACAGATAAACAGAAAATATAACTGTTATTTAATAAACAGTAAACTTTTACTTAATAAATATGTTAATAATATCTTGTTGTTAGATCTATCTTATTGTTGTTGTTGGTGATGGTGGTGGTGGTGCCATCCACTCAGTTCTGAGTCACAGCGAGTCTGTATAGGGTTTCCAAGAAGCGACTGGGGAGCTAGAACTGCTGACCTTGCAATTCAATAAGACTTTGCAGTCCATCGCATTAACCCATAGTGCCACACCATCTTAGTGTAGCTAAACACAAAAACAAATCAATGTAATTTGCTTTAGTGTTATTTAATAAATATTTTTATTGGGGGAGAGGGTAAATTATTTACAAGCTAGAGGGTAGACACCTGTTAATATGGGTATCCAGGGCAGGCAATATACAAGAGGAAGGTTAGCGGAGGAAGGAGGAAGACAGTGGCAGACACCTTGAGGAGAGCGCTGGTTACAGTGAACAGAGGAAAGTACTGTTAACTGCTAACACGTGGAGGAGATTGCAAGCCTGGTAATGAAACAAAGTCTATGATTTACTGAATGTGAAACTGATGATCTGCTCTGTAAACTTTCACTCAATTCACAATAACAAGTTTAAAAATAAATGTTTTATTTGTTAAGTAAAATTTAATACAATATATGTATTAAAAATAAGTACTATTTTTTAGACTATTACAAGAATGGTTGCTAACTGCCATCAAGTGTGTTCCATCTCGGGGTGACGCTGTATAGGGTTTCCAAGGAGTGGCTAGTGGGTTTGAACCGCCACCTTGCTGATCAAATTGACTTTGTGGTCTAGTGCTTATCCTACAGCACCAGGATTCCATTTCAATACATAGTTCAGATTAAAATTATTTTTATTTGTTGATTTTAATCAGCTATTTTTAAATTAAGCACATTTTAGTTTAAGTACGAAAGTGAATGAGTTTTATTTACTGTGACAAATATGTTGTATTTGTAGCTAATCATTGATGGTTTATATTAATATTATTCAATAAATAAGTATTTTACTTATTCTAATAAAACTATAAGGGGTCCTTATAGACTCGATGACACCTAACAATAACAAATAAGGGGTCCTGCTGGCACTGTGAGTTAGGTGTTAGGCTGCTAACAACAAGGTTGGCAGTTCAAACCCACCAGGCGCTCCAGAGGGGAATGATGAGGCTGTCTGCTCCCATAAAGATTCAGGCTCAGAAACCCTATGTGGGGTTTCTATGGGTCACAGCTCAGTAGCAGCAGGCTAGGTTTGATTTAGGTATACTATAATCCTGTCAGTACTGAAAATAAGCAGATGTTGATTATTTTAAATTATTAATTTTATTTAACATTTGTTGTTGTTAGGTGCCATCGAGTCAGTACTGACTCATAGAGACCTTATGCACAGCAGAACGAAACACTGCCTGGTCCTGGGCCAACCTCACTGCTGTTGCCACACTTGAGTCCATCTGGTCCTGGCCGATCCATCTCATTGGGGGGGGTCTTCCTCTTTTTCTCTGACCCTCCACCTTACCAAACATGATATCCTTCTCCAGTGACTGGTCCCTGCTGACAATATGTCTGAAGTATGAGAGATGAAGTTTGGTCATCCTGGCCTCCAAGGAGCACTCTGGCTGCACTTCTTCCAACACAGATCTGTTGGTTCCTTTGGCAGCCCCTGGCACTTTCAATATTCTCCTCCAACACCATAACTCAAAGGCATCAATTCTTCTACGGTCTTCCTTATTCACTGTCCAGCTTTCATATGCATATGAGGTTACTGAAAATACCATGGCTTGGGTCAGGCACACCTCAGTCCTCAAGTTGATGTCTTTATTTAACATATTTATTATAAATATTGTTTAGTTAGTACTATTTTATTTATTTTGGAGTCCTGGTGTGGTGCTATAAGGTACACACTGGACCACAAGATTGGCAATTCAAATCCACCAATTACTCCTTGAAAATGCAACACAGGATAACACTGAAAGACATTTTATTTATTTTAATTAGCAAATGCATTTTTAAAAATTTTAATATAACTAATAAGCAAGCAGATTATATTAAGTTTAATAAATGTTATTTATTATATTATTTAATCCTTTTTTTCCCCACTGGAGTCCTGGTGTGGCACTATAGGTCCATTTGAACCACAAGGTCGGCAGTTCAGACTAACCAGTCACTCCTGAGAAATCCTATGTTGTTGCTGTTGTATTAAGTGCCGCTGAGTTGGTTCCAGCTCATAGTGGCCCTGTACAGAGTTTCCAAGGAGCGGCTGGTGAGTTGGAGTTTGAATCACCGACCTTATAGTTCACATTGATTTTTTGGGTGAGTTCTTATCCTACAGCGCTGCACCAAGACTCCAGAAACCCTACAGAGGGTCGCTATGAGTCGGAACCAACTCAGCGGCACTTGTTAAGAACAATTTTATTTTCATTAGAAACCCTGATAGCCACGTAGATTCTGGGTGGGTCTGTTAACAGTATTGGGTTCAGATCAACCAGCTCTTCCACAGAGATTTCCGGCTTTGGAAACCCTATAGAGGGTCGCTATGAGTCGGAACCAGCTCGGTGGCACTAAACAACATTGGTGTTCATTAATATTTTAATAAACCAATTTCAGTACAAGTATATAGGTACTGAGGAGTCCTGGTGTGGCGCTGTGGGTTAAGGCACCAGACTGCACAGCTGTTTGAACTGCGAGGTTGGCGGTTCAAGCTTACTAGCTGCTTCTCGGAAACTCTATACAGGGTCACTATGGGTCAGAATCGACTCAATGGCACTTAACAACAACATATAGGTACTAAAGTAGGCAAGTTTTATTTATTTTACAAATAAGCATTTATTATTTAATACATAGTATCTGTATTAAAACAATAGTTTAGCATAGAGACAGAAATAGGTAATTTAAAAAATTTTTATAACTTGTATTCATTAGTAATAAGGAGCTCTGGTAGCGTAGTGGCTACGAATTGGGCTGCAAACTGCAAGGTCAGCAGTTCGAAACTACCAGCTGTTCTGCAGGAGAAAGATAAAGCTTTCTGCTCCCGTAAAGATTTACAGCCTCGGAAACCCTGTACAGGGTCACTATGAGTCGGAACCAACTCCACGGCACACAACAA